TATATTTTTTTATGAAAAAAAAACATTGCAATCCTAAAATTAGATATTTATTACAGGAGAATTAATTGCAAATAAAAATTGTGCTGACATTACAAAAGTTAATAATATCGATAATAAAATAATTCTAAATATCGACGAGATTTTGAATGATACAAACAAGATTGGTATTATATTGGACAAGACTGTATGTTATTCATTGGAAGGTGGCCAGGTTTCAGATAAAGGAAATATTCTTATAAAGAATTTGCTTTTTAATATAGATAACATTAGAAAGATAAACGGCTATGTAATTCATTCTGGACATTTCGCCAAAACAGATTTACCGTAGGTATCTGTTCTTCTGATTTTTATATTTAAATAATTCTATATAAAACTAATTTTAATTATTCTAATTATATCTAAATTTGATTGTAAAGAGTTTATATTAATCAATACGTAAATTTATTTTTTAGCATATCAGAGCTGCATTTACAAATAGAGGATGATTGCATAGTCAATATAGAACCAAATATTCGTGTCGGAGCGATGAAACATCATACAGCAGCGCATTTATTGAATGCAGCTTTAAAACAAGTTATGCAAGTAATTTATCAACGTGGTTGTACAGTTGACACAGATAGTTTGAAATTTCAATTCAATTCGTTCGGCGAACAACTTACATCAAAACAAATGAAAACAATAGAAGATTGCATTAACAATGTTATACAGTCTCAGGTTACGACAATGGTGCAAACATTAAATTTATTTGAATTGTTGAAACAAAATGACGTTACATTGATCCCAGGAGAGGTATATCCTTATACAAACATTAGAGTCGTAGAGATCAATGCTGACAATTTGAAAGCAAAGTGAGTCCAAATTTTAAGCACTAGTGAATCTTTCGAGATGGACTTTATTAATATTTATTGTATGTTTAGGGAAACATGCTGTGGTACGCATGTTCACAATACAAGTGTACTGCAACATTTTTGTTTTTTAACCTATACCTCAAAAGGAGCAACAAAGCGCACTGTTAAGGCTATTGTTGGCCCACAAGCCTTACGTATGAAACAAGCTGGTGAAAAAATATGCCAAAGAATTACGGAGTTAGAGGATAGTTTACAGAGCGATACATTTACATATGACCTATTAAATGCAGAAATAAATCGGATAAAACAAGAAATTAATAATCAGAACATACAAATACAGTTACCTTATTTGATTAAGGAGAAGTGTTTGACACATCTGGAGAATTTGAGCAAGACAGTATGGTTGCGAGCAAAAGAAATTGAAAAGTACATAATATTTTATGCATATTTTTATTTTATTTTATAAGTAATCTATTTGATTTTGAATATAATTCTTAATAATGATATATTTTATAGAGATTCTGTAATACGTGAAATTTCGGATGCCACAAATTCATCATGTTTCATCGTTCATTGCTTAAATAAAAATCCTCTATTTTTGTCATTGCACGAAATCATATCTCTCTTTTCTGGAATACCAATATTAGTTCTATCTTACACAAATGAATTTGTAAAAGCAAGATGTTCCATACCGCAGGTATATTCTGTATATTCTTTTATTTACATATTTTTAAATAAATATTAATGTGTAGATTGTACGATAATATTACAAAGTAATCTGAATAAATAAATATTTATTATTGTATGTACATATGTAGGAAATGACTTCTACTGCATTTAACGCACAAACCTGGATGGATATTGTTCTTCAAATATTTAATGCAGAACATGGGCCTATTAAAGGATTCAAACCCTCGTTAGTCGCAAGTATGAAATCTACTAAAGTATCACAGGATTTTCAAATACATATGGAAAAAGCAATTATAGAAGCTACGAAATTTGCATCTATACATGTAAAAAAAGTTTCCATCAGTAATAAAAAGCAATGAATGATTCTATTTTGTATTATGTTTTATATTTTCACTATTTTACTTTATTCAGATATAAGTATAATTCAATAATATTTAAATAAGTAAATAATTTTTATTTATTATACATTTCCATTCTATTCATATAAATTTATAGTATCAATAAAATAATATATAAAAAATATTAGCTATGATGTAGTTTGTATATGTCTCGTATAAAATTGTTTTAGCGCTGACCATTGTGCTGTATGGAGCAGTACATGTGGTCTCTTTATTCGCAAATAATCCACTGCTTGTTCAGGCGTCCAATTATTTTTCTAGACATATGAAAAGACAAGATTTTGCTGTAAATAATTAAAATTTATTAATTTTGAAATGCATATGGATATCTCACTGTTATTAAATAACACGCGACGAGTGTTGCGCTTCTTGTTCTTCCTGCTTTACAATGAACGTAAACTGTGCCAGGTTGATTGCGACCATCGACGATATCTCTGTCACCCAATTTTCTGCTTGATACATTGCGAAATTTATTAATAAAATTTACACCATTCTGTAGTTTTTCTTGAGAAGGTGCTTGAAATATGTCTGTTGTAGACAATTGCAGAAATTCTACGTTGTGCTTGCGCCATTCCTGAATGAAGGAAAGGACTATTATTATTCTGACTTTTGCATAAGTTTATTATTTCACATTATATCTGTCTCTTAATATTTTATTTTATTTTCAAAAGTTTTTTTTAATTTAAAAAAAACTACGTACCTTCTCCGTATTGGATAATAAAGATAATTCATAATCTTCATTCATGGATACGACAGCCTTAATGTTTTCATCGTCAATCAACTAAAAAAATAAAAATGTAAATTATATATAATCATATAAGAAACTTTATTCGACTATTTTTAATTTATTTTTCAGCTATCACATGAAATGTATTTATAGTAAAAGATGATGTTTAAAACATGATACTTTCTAATATATATATTGTAATATATTATTATATAAACAAAAAAATACAAAATACATGTACACATTATAGATTATATATTATACATATTATACATTAAAATATGCTAAATGATGACGACAGCTGTTTTATAATATTTATATCAATATTTATTCAGTAAATGGAGATAAACATAAAAGACCTTAAAAATATTATAAGTACTTTTTTTTGTATATGAAATATGGTTGTGTAATAATTAGAAAATCAGAAATATATTCAAAGTTAATATTTTTTTAACTTTTTTTAATTTCAAATGAGTTAACTCTTAACTTCAGCTAATTATTTTTTCAAATACATTAATTTTTTAATTAAAAATTTTTTTTGTTCCAAGCTCTATTTTATTAAAATAATATAATTAAAAAAAGCGTTTTAATTTAATATAGATGATTAATGTAGATGTAGACGATTTTTGAAATTAGCTTTTAATTTAATTTTAACGTAATTAAGTTTTTTGTTCATGCAACTTTTAACGTAACAAATTAATTTTATGGCATCAACTTTAATTTAATTGAAAAAAATTAACTTAGCCTGGAAATATCCTTAATTTCTATTATAAAAAATTAATGTACAAAAATATACCTGTTTCGTCGATCGTCGGAATGGTAAGGCGCCCAGTATGACAGTCTCGTCTATCCTATCGTACCAATTTCGAGTTGTGATCTTTTCCATAACAACGTTGTAAAACAAAGTTGGATAAAATGTTACTCTCGCAAACATTTTCGCTAGAAATTAATTCCGAGAAAAGTGTTAGCTCGATTGATGATTTAAAATTGAAGGTTTGGAATGTTTACGAAACGTTGAAATTAATGTTCTCCGATTCGAGACTACCGATCACATAACGGTACATATGATTACGGTAAAAACGTGTCAAATAAATCGATTTTATTTATCCCGATTTCGTTTCATACTGTGTGCACAATTCACGTATAAGTTTTAAAGGTAGCACGATGATCAGAAGACACGAAAGAAACATCTTCTATGGCACAAGTATGTTAATATATAGCCTCGCTGACCTTCCCCCGAAGAAGTGAAAGAATATAACAGAATAATGGTGGGGAATGTTACCGATGCGATATGCTTTTTTTATCTAGTGCAGTGTTATTTACAAGTGTTTTTTACCATTTAAAAACTTGTATTTGTAATAAAAAATATATATTTTCCAGGATAAATATGAAACGGTTAAAAATAAAATCTCAACACTAATAATCAAAAGTTATTTGAAGGATGAGATACAGTGGAAAGGTAATCTTCTCAAGGTTTTGCTTTTTCAATATTTAAATTTTGCGTCCACGATGTGGAAAAATCGATCCGAAATCGAACGGAAAAAGAATTGTCGCAAAAAATCGCAAAAAATCGCAAAAAATCAACCGAATTCAAATGCAATTGATCAATTCTTTTTTCATTCGAGATCTCGATTTTTAGCACTGTAAACACAAAGCTTTAGAATCAGATATTAGAATCATGTAAAATTATGAAAATCTATATTTTTTTTTCGATTAAAAACTATTACCATAAATTAATATGTACAAACATATTTACATACAATTGTTATTAGGCTAAACTAACTTTGTGACATGTTTAATAAATCTATGTCTAGGCAGTAGGATCCCAAGTCTCCTTTTCTAAATAAATTAACAAAGTAATCTGCCGCAGTCTTAAAATCCGGCTTGACTTCTAACTGTCCATTGTAGTTCTTTATTTTTATAGTTTTTCCTATTTTTGCAGCGATAAATGTAAGCACATACACTATATTATCATTTGGTTCTGGTAAACCTAATTTTTCTACATATTCAAATCGACCATTCTTATTCAACCAAAAAAGTAAGTAATCTGCAAGCAGCTGTAATCCCACGACATGATCTTGTAGACATCCCACTAAGGCTAGTTTAAAACCAGCATGTATATCTTTGATGGAAGGAGCTAAAATACCTGGGGTGTCAATCAAATATACTGTTGGATCCTCCGATATTTTTATATGGGTCAATACGGAACGCGTGATACCAGCTACTCCACCGACCTGAGTAGCCTTGCCCAAATGAAGATGATTGCTTCTCAAACGATTAATCAGAGAGGACTTTCCAACATTGGGCACACCGATGACCATCATGGAATATGATTCCTCCTCCATTCTATTGTAACGATTTGAATCTAATATCAATTTCTTGGCTAAGGATAAAATCTTCTTCATGCCTTTGCACTGATCATCTTTGAGGTTTGTAAGGATCATGTTGGACAGCCCTTCCCTGTTTAACGTAGAGATTACACTTTCAGTTTGTTTCCTGTCCGTTAGATCTTTTTTGCTTAAGATGATTATATGCGGCTTCACGCCGATCAAGGTCCTGCTAAAGTCTGCGTAACGTCCAGAAATCGGTACCCGCGCGTCGTGAACCTCTAGGATGCAATCAACATTTTTCAATCGTTGTTGCATCTGTCGCAGACCCTTCGTCATATGTCCTGGGAACCACCGTAATACGTTCGGCGACACGAACTTTTCTCGCAGATTGGCGACTACTTTACCTCCTGTGTTTGTCATCGTGCCGCGTCTTCGGTAATCCTCCTTAAATTGCGATCGTTCTTTCTCATAAGTTCTAAAACACACAATCGACACACGTGACTGAGGCAAACTTGTCGGCATTTGTTGCCAGTGCCGATATATTTGTTTCAGATACCTCGGAAGTTTTTTTTTGTCTCCAAAGATATGTATTATAAATTGAACATTGTTACCAATGTGTCAGGATAATAAATCATGTGACAATAATAGAACATGTGAGGCAAATGCAGGCCAGCACGCAGGTTATCATGAGGGTTATCGGCAAATCTGTTCGACCAAATCAAAATAACAATGAGCGCCAGTTACATAAAGGTGAATTTCAACAAAGCGAACCATTGGTCTAACGAGGATCGACTTATCAAATAATATATATTTTAAGTCTGCTTTTTAGCTGAACTTTTTGCATGATTCATTTTCCCTCTTTTTCTCTTCATGTTGAACAAACAAAAAAGAAGAAAAATAAATGGTATAAGAAACTCATTTTAAAAAAATAAGACTTTGGTTACATGCGCAGCAATATTCATTTTTTGTTATTTAAGAAAGAAGAAAAGTTAGATTAAAAAAGATTAGATAAATTAAGAAAAGAAAAAAAAAGAAAGATAAAGTTAGGAATAAATCGCATTAATATTTTGCTTTGAATTAGTTGATGAATCATTGATTTAATCAAATATCACAATTATTTCATTGATATGAAAAGAATTACTAAGTTTTCGTTAATATAAAGAGAGATTACGGATGAATAATTAAAATTTTTCATAAACAATTTTGCCAATTAAATTACTGATATTAATTAAATTAACCGAGATTTAACATAAAATTGTTTTACCATTTCATAGTACGTGATACACGTATACTGATAGGCTAATAATTTATAATTTATCCATTTATTAATAACATTTGTTATTGAAATTTGTGTCACATGACTTGCGACTTCGTGGATCTCGAGTGAAGTGGGAGGCCTTAAGATCGGTTTACAAAGTATATCGTATCCGTGATGTTGATCTCTACTCTAGACAGTCTATGCATCGTGACTGTTGATTTTTCGAGGAAACGTCATCTCGAGACAGCTGGAGGTGACATCTCATAATGTGACATATCGAGTTTCGTCGAATAATAATAATAATAATGACACAATTGTAATTATGCCTCGATAATACTTTTGATAATACTTTTTTATTTTTTTCGAGTAACCGACAGCCACGATACGCGAACACGTAGACGGGAAGCGTGGCGGTTCGACGGGCGCCCCCCGATGATTACGTGTGCAAATTCACGCGTCAGGGCATCCGTGACCCCGTCGCGTGCGCGTCGCGACAATCCGGCCAATCGCGGAGGCGACCCGCTCGCGATTGCGCGTCCAGCTCGGCGCTCGCGGCCGTGCGAAACTCCACATGAGCCTGTTGCCAGTTATTGATCCTGGCGCGATTAAACAACACCGCATTGCCGTCAACTACGAAAACAAGACTCGCCACGTCTCGGCCGCGCTCGGCGTAACCGCGTACGGTGTAAAAGCATCCGGGACCGCCGTGTGAGGAAACGGTCGGCCGACGGCGACGGTTCGTCTTCGTGTGTACCGTTATTCTGCCCGTAACACCCCGGGGGGTGTGTAGGACTTGCACGGACCGATCCCGCGAGAACGGACCTCAGACGGATTCGCGGTCGCGGCACGACACGGCGCGGCGCGGCGCGGCGCAGCGCGGCGCATCGCA